TACGAACTAGGTTCGTCCCGTACGATCATTATAAATTTTGTAAGATCTCCTTAAGTGTGTGTGTGTTTATTCACTCAATTACAATTACTCCCACACAATTTAAAGAATAATTTAAAACTTCATTTTATAAAGGATTGTATGCTGAATTTGATTTGAAGTCTTCATAGTTTAGAGTTCGATTGTCCTAAAATGTTAGTACACACAAGAGCAAAAAAGAAATCTTTCAAAAAGTGTTAGGAGATAACTACACATAAAACAATAATATTTGGAATCATCAAAACTATACAAGTTGCAAGAATGTAAAACATGCAAATTCCAACTCTCTTAACAAGACAGTTTCATTTATGCAGTGACATAAAGAGCATTTGGCATCCACGTTAATCCCCTTTCCTATAAGGATATCAACAGTTTTAATGCCCCCATTTAAAGCCATCAAGGATAAAGAAGAGAATCTAAGAGTGTACCGCTTATGCCATACAAAATGATACCAATTAACCTTGGCATATTCTTTAAAAAGAAACTCCCTATAAACACTATGTTTGTATATATTACCTGTACCCCAAAATAGGAAATCTTGAGAATCCGGGAGCACAGGAATATAAAAAAAAAACATATCCAACAGCTTCAGGCATTAAAGCAGGCAAGTGCCACCCATTTCCATTCAAAATTATAGATAGTTTAGTGTTCTTAGGGAAGATGTTAAGAATGGGTTGAGCCTCCGCTACTTCATATAAGCATTTATCTTTATACCATTGGTCCCAATGGAGGGATAAACTAGAATTTGGAGATACCCTAAAATGAAAATTTTCTTTGGCAAATTCGGCATCCATATAAACACTTTTCCAAAATTTAGAAGCTTTAGATATAGGCTCCTTCCAAGGTGATACATATATATTAAACAGCCACTTAGCCAGAGGGCTATGAGAATTGTAAATTCTCATAATGAGAGCGCAGTTAAAACTGAATTGAAGAGAATGCAAGGAAGGTAACCCAAGTCCTCCCACTTCTTTTGGTCTACAAGTATTTCTCCAAGAAATTAAATGCAATTTTTTTCTGAGAGTCTCACCAAAATAAAGGAATTTAGCACATAACATGTCGATTTGCTTAACAATAGTTTTCGGTATTATGGCCCCACGAATCTAGTAAGCAATCGTATTCCAAATAGTGTATCTAAGAAATTGAAGCCAGCCAGCAAAAGATAAAGCTTTAGCCTTCCAACCAGAGTTTGTGGATAATATTTTCTATCAGCTTAGAGTAGCATGACAGCTTAGGATTGTAGGGAGATAGAGGTACCCCAAGATAGTTCATGCTAGAAGAGGTAGCAGGAATATTAAATATAGAACAAATATTATCTGCTATTTGACAGTTAGGAGGCAAGATGAAGGAGCTTTTCCCAAAATTTACTTCCAGACCCGAAGCCATAGAGAAGTCCTTATGAATTTGGGTAAGACTCTCACAGTTATTGATATATCAGCTTTCCCAAATATAATCAAATCATCATCATACATAAGGTGGGAGAGCCTATGATCCCCAATAGATAGAGCTTCAAAGCTATTATCATTACAATCAAGCATACAAGAAAATGCATCCATAACTATGCAGAAAAGATATGGGCTTAAGGGACAACCCTGCCTAAGCTCTGAAGAGGAGGGGAAAAAACCCTCAAGAGCCCCATCTATGCATAAAGAAAACCATTGTTAACATCTTCCCTTAAGCCCATATCTTTTCTGCATAGTTATGGAGGTAGGAAGGACCGTAGTAGGCCACAGAGGTCAGAAGGACCATAGTCGGTAGAAGATAGGAATCAGAATGATTATTATCTTGTAATAGAGGTCGGAAGAACTATAATAGGCGATAGAGGTCAAAAGGACTATAGTCAGCATGAGACAGGAATTAGAAAGATCATTATCTAGTGATGGAGGTTCGAAGGATCGTAGTAGGAGAGAGGTCGGAAGGACCATAGTTGACAGGAGATGAGGGTAAAAAAGATCATAATCATAAGGCGAAGGTCAGGCGAAAGTCCAGACGTTATTCAGTGTTCTAGTGGAACTCTGACTTCTATTAGTGGTCCGGTGAAAGTTTGGGCCTCAGTCGATGTTCTAGTGATGGTTTGAAAAAACTCTAACATCAGGCGGTGGTCCTGTGGAACTTAAGTGTTAGGCGGTGGTTTGGCAGAACTCCAACATCGAGCGATGGTCTGGTGGAAGTTCGACGTCAGAAGGTGGTCCTTAAAGAAGTCCAGTGTCAGGCGGTGGTATGATGGAAGTCTGACATCAAGCGGTGGTCTTGATGAAAGTTCAGCGGAACTCCTGCATCAAGTGGTGGTCTGGCCAAAATACTACATTGGGCAGTGGTCTGGAAGAACTCTGACCGCAGGTGGTGGTCTAGCAAAACTCAGATGTCGTGTTGTGGTGTGGAAGAACTCTAGCGTTAGAGGGTGGTCTAGTAGAACTCCGGCGTCAGGCGATGGTACTGATGGAAGTCCGGCATTAGGTAGTGGTCCGACAAAAATTCGACGTCAGACGATGGTCTGATGGTGGTTTGGCAGAGCTCCGACGTCAGGCTGTGGTCTGGTGAAAATCCAGCATTAGGTTGTAATTCGACTTAACTCCAGTTTCGGGCGATGGTCCGACAGAAGTTTGACGTCAGGCAGAGTTCTGGAGAAAGTCCGGCATTAGACGGTGGTCCTGATGGAAGTCTGACGTCAGACAGTTGTCTGAAAAACTCCTGCATCAAGTGGTGGTCTGGAAGAACTCTAGCATCTGGTGGTGATCCGGCAGAACTATGGCGTTGGGTGGTGGTCCGGCAAAACTCCGACGTCAGGTGGTGGTCTGGCGGAAGTCCGGGTGGTGGTCGAGGAGGGAGGAGGCAAGAGCGTTCTCCAGTCTCTCTCTTGATTCCTTGCTTGGGGGTCTCCTTTTATGAGAAAAGAGGGGTCTATTTAGAGATTTCATAGAGTGGCATGACCCATAAATATGAGGAAGATCAATGGTAAATTGGTAGTGGTTTGGATGGACGATCGATATTGAATCCCTTGATCAGGGATAGTTTATTAGGCATTTGAATGTTTTAGTGATATTAAAATTTTACGATCTTGGGCTCGTTGGATTTGTCTTGTCGAGCCGCTCGATTCGACTATAAGCATGTCACATTTAAAAACCGTTTGGTAATCCAAATTGTGGTTTAAACCTTCCAATAGCGCTTTGAGTCCTTGAAATTGACATGATTTTGGTGTCGTTGGGTTCGTATTTTTGAGACATTAAGTTTGACTAGAAGTTTACTGAAATCAGAGTTCAGATTATCCCAATTTAATTTTGGAAAGTTTCCAACTTAAATTATCCTCGAGATTCTTGCCCCATCAAAATAATTTTTTAATAATGTATCACTGCTCATCTCCAAATCCCATGTATTCTACTTGCATCGATCTCTTGGGTCTTTTATCGTTGACTTTTCCCCCATAATAATATAATTTTGATTGTTTTGTCTATTTACCCTTGTTCCTTCTCAATTTAAAAATTGTAACACAATATAAGAAACGAAAGCACAAATTTGATCAGAAAATATCAAAAATATAAAATCTTTGAAATCAGAATTAAGGTAAAGGTTCCTTAGAACGAGACGAGCAATTATCCCAACTGGCCCGTATGACAAAAATTGCTCCACGGCCTTCAAATCTCAAGCTTTTCTTTCTCTATCCTCTCATTTCTCTCTCATTTCCCTTAAGACTCTCTATTGCCGAAATAATGAGGAAACAAAGGGATTTGATAAAATCTCAAAGCTTTAAGATATTTATAAATAAGTAATTATAAATATTAATATAATAGTTAATTTAATCAATTCTTAATATAAAATTCAAATAAATTATTTTTAGGATTTTAAAAATTACAAAAACATATCCATAAAATAAAATATATTATTTAGAAAATATCTGAAAAATTGGTTTGCAAATCAAACACCTAACGGTCCTAAAATTCTCATTTGTACCGATAGGTATTAAATTCTTAAGGATTTTAACTGGTGTCCAAAAATTACGAAAAAAAAAATTATGTAAGTAAAATACTATGGTAAAAATGGATTATGATTTGGAGTCAAAATACGGGTTATTACAATTGTGTTAATCAATCTGATTTATTCTGTTGTCTCAGACTTTAAAGCTTGCAGTGTGTTTTCGAGTGCCCTAGCTCTGAACGACAGAGAGCACCACAATGCCCTAGATATGACGTTGTAACGGTGCAAAATAGAGGCTTGAGCACCGCAATGCTTTGAGAATGATTAAAAAATTTCATTCCCATTTTTCTGAAGGGATGTGTCCATTGGAGTTATTTTACTTTGCTTTCTTTTGTATTTTGAGCAATTAGACATTAAGAACGGTGTATGTAAGAAGAGAAGCAATGAGAGAGTGAGAGAGAAGAGATGTATGTACTTATTTCTCTCAATTTTTATAGTGAATTTCTTGGAGTGGTGTGGCTCCATGATTTTTCCCCTACTTTGAATTTTCTACGCTAAATCCTGATGTCATTACTTTTCTGCTGCTTTTACTTTTATACTTGTTTTGTCAATGTGTTGTTTACTCCTCTTCTTCCCAAAACACTATGATGAATTCCTTATCATAATTTATTGCACTATAGATAATGAGACATAGGCTCCATTTATGACAAATTTCTTACTATTACTTAAAGCAATATTTTATTACAAAATTTTTTTAAACTAAAATTTTTTATGATAAAAAAGTTGCTTTAGAAAGCAATAAAAAAACATCCAAAATGAAGCCATAATTTGCATCTGAACAAGTTTAAGAGCTCTTAAATTTATGCTGAAATTAATACAATTTATGATATTATTTATAAGATGCTGTGTTTCTTAAGCCCTTTTTGACTTAAAATACATTAGAATATTTTTATGAAAAAATTTTCCCAGTAATTACCATATTTACACAGACACCAACCTCCTCTCTTTGAATAAATGCATCAAATATCGTGCAAAGATTGGGCCATCTATAACTAATTGCAAAGCTGAAGAACCCTAGCCCTCTTCTTCCCCAGAACAAAGCCTCCTCCCTTCTCCTCCACAGACATAAGCTCCTCGCATGATGAACAAACTCTTGTTTCTTCAACTTTGGACACCTCAGTATAGAACCTGAGCTCCTGTAACTCCATTCTCAGCCTCCTGTTCTCATCCCTTAGATTCTCACACCAGGTCCTCAGTACCTCGCAGTCCACTTCTGTTTGCTTCAGCTTAGTTCTGTATATACAAATCAGAAAAAAAGATAAAAATTAAAGTCAAGTAATTTACTTATATTTTATCTCAATTGTTATCATTTTAAGACTAAAAATACTCTTTTTCAATCTGAATCACATCATTCTTGACAGGTCAAATTATTATAATTCTTGGAGTACTGAACATTCCATCACACATATGAGCATGCAAGCACTGAATGCATGAGATGAACAAAATAGATATATAACTTGATTGCTCATGCAACTATTGTCAACAAAAAGATGTGATCATTATTTTTATTGAATTCTGCATAAAATAGTGATGGTGGACGATGAAGATGGTGACCGATAACCTAAAACAACAGAAGATGAACCGAGTACAACAAAATCAAGCTTTTATCCCACTACATGTGATCGATTGGCTATATGAATCATTTAATTTCTTTCTTATTTATTGTTAAGAGTCAAATTCTCATTTAAATCTAATAAAGAAAGATAATTTCGGAGAATCTCAAAATATTTTTTGAAATATTTCCAAAGGCAACTTCATTTGTTTTCAAAAAAAAAATAACAAAAAGAAGCATAAATCAAACATATTTTTGTTTAAGGAAAAAAAATGAAAACAAAGAGCCATCATCACAAAGAGCCCTTAGCAACTCAAATGAATTTGAACAGATCATGAATAAATAAGTACCTAGCCCTCCTGTTTTGGAACCAGACTTCGACTTGCCGGGGAAAAAGACCAAGCTTCTGAGCCAGCTCTTCTTTCTGAAGAGATGTAAGAGTGTTATGAGCTCGAAAGCTTTCCTCGAGCATGCTAGATTGCTCCGGATTCAAACGGAGCTTCTTCCTCGCTCCATGCAACTTGTTATCATCATCATCCTCGCTTTTACTCTTTGTTAATCTCTGCTTCCTCTCCTCTTCCACTTCTTCTTCTATTTCCTTCTTCGGACAACTAGGGAACCAGAGATGAAGCCTGACCGTCGGATCAGCCTCACAACGCCTTCCTTTTCCCTCCTTGTACCCCCCTTTCCCTATCCCCAAGCCGAGCGTTGTGTCACACATCTCTTCTTCTCCCATTGCAGATAGTAGAAAGATATAATTTTTTTCTGCTGAGCTCTTTTGCGAAGGTGAGCAGGTTAAATAAGAGCCTTAGTAACTTATGCAGAGGAGAGGAGAGGGGAGTTTTTGGTGCTTTAAAGAAGAGAGAGAGAGAGAGATAGAGAGAATGATGGACCAAGAAAAATGGAATGGGGAGAAGAAGTCGTCAAAGGAAACGAAGCTTTCCGGGGAGTTTCATGGCGGGGGAGCAAATTTCCTGAACTTGTCGGTTTGTGAGAAATTTGGTAGCAGTAAATTAATTAAGACATTAATAGCCCATCCGTTTAAAGAAGATTGCTTTATGAAAAATAATTAGTTCGCATGCATGATTATGATGCCTGAAGGTTCTATTGGTGTTAATTCATCATATGCGTCTTATTCATGCTATGCGTTTAGTGATAAATAATTATTTTTTTATTTTTAATGACTGGTATTAAGGAATTAATTAAGATAATTAATGTTTTTTTATGAGATTAAAGATGGAAAATAATTCAATTGTAATTTACGTTAGAATAAAATTATGAGTAACTTTATTAATTATAATTAGAAGATAAATCAAAGTATGATGTCTTGGAGTTCGAACATGCAATTCTTATTTTGACCGCGGTCAAAGATAACCAATTATTTGCACTAACAAAAAAATTAAAGAAAAAACAAGAAAAATAGTTAAATTAATAAAAATAAATTATAATTATAACGTAATTAATTTTAATTACTCACGCGGTGTTCAAACTTTTTGGTTACGGAACGGCCAAAATGAGCATTTATTGATGCTCAAAGCTTTGGACAAACGGTTTTGTTACACAAAGTCTTAATCAACCTAAGAATTTAATGGTGGAGAAATTTTGGGTATAGGTAATCATGAAATAATGATTTGTTGTTAATTAGTATTAATTTTTAGTTATTAGATTTTTTAAAGAAATTAATATATGATTAATTAATTAATTTTTATTGTATTTATTTTAAAATAAATTTAATGATTTGAAAATTTAGGTTGGTTAAAGATGAGTAAGGATATTGTAGCCCAATTTTTCCTTTCACAATTTTCTCTTTATTGTTATAGAAGAATAAGATCATCTTGGCCACATTATTATTTTATTTCATTCTTTTTAATTAATTGACCAAAAATCTGTTAGTCAAAAGTTTGATTTTTTTTTTTTTTAAATCAAAACGGGTTATCGAGTGAGATTCAAGTCATTCAGGTTGCTAGCATGTTGGGTTCATGTCCGCATTTTTTACCTATTTATTAAACGGGTTGGATTTAGATTGACTAGATTCCAATTGGGACAATTTTGAGTCGGACTTGAACCCGACCCATTAACCCGTTCTGGCACCCCTAAGCTCTAGCCGCATATGCACATATTGATCTCTCGACCTAAACCCACTTCATTGACCACATTCCAGAGCCCAATATATGACTTGAGTTTTGGATTTCTTTTGTCAAACCCATGATTTCATGATAACACATTCCAACAAAATAGTCATCAGAGCTTCATAAATGTTTTGTGGTTACTTTACAACAACTTGGTGGAGATGGTAACCCTTTGTTGGTTATTCTCATTTTGCAAATAATAGATTACTAAATTATGATGTGTACTGAATCTAGAAGAATAAATTCAAAATATTTAGAAGAATTTCAAATATAAGGAATTTACATATATACCACATTTTTCCTATGTATTTATATATCTAATACTTAAACTTTGATATTTACTTGTATAAAACTCAAATCCTTAAATCACATAAAAAATTTCACTAATGTCAACTTTTCTAAAGTGAATTACATCTTTTCATGCATTTTTTGATATAGTCGAGGCATTAAAATATTATATAAGTAAACATCAAAATTTAGGTGTTTGACATATATAAAAAAAAAAAAAATTAAAAAAAAATGTGGTTTGTATGTAAATGCCCATTAAATTAGTTTATAAGAAAACAAAAAAAGTATGTTGAAACTTTTTTTTTTCAAAGAATATAATTTATTCCATTAGTTAAAGACAAGTACATCAAAGATCAGACCAGAAAAAAAAGCCAAATACATGGAAAGATTACAATTCGGGAGGGCGAGAAGATAAACAAGGCAGCAAAGGCCAACGGGCTCAGTAATTTGCAAAGGCTACCAACCACACCGAATCCAGGCACATACCATCCAGAGGAGTGAGAATGCAACATACCACCAAAGCCAAAAAACAGCCATCACCGAAGAGAGAAGTCCAAATAAACACCACCAAAGGTTGCCAACAAACCACAGATCCCGAGTGGTGAGCCCAAGCCACACCATCGCCCAAATAAAACAGATTAAAACCAAAGAGGCAGCAGCAGAAAAGTTGCCAACAAAGGTATAACATCAGCACCAAAACAACAACCACCAAGCAAACCACAAAATAAGGCTATTTTTTGGATTTATGCTTTCTACGTTTACCAACCCAAACATTTTTATCTCGCACAGTATCTTGTTGATCAAAACATTCCACTTCTTCAACCTCAGAAGAGGATAGGGAAGAGCACTCAAGCCAATCTATTTGGATCCTAACACTTCCTCTCGAGCTTACGCCCACATGGGAAACCAACACATCAAGTGAAATTAAATTCACAGGGACCTCAACAAGTTGGCCAGCCAATTGAATAGGAGACGCCACCGGGGTACAAACCAAAGGGTCCACATCGTAAGCAACAAGAGAACAATCCTAACGCACATGCGCTACAGTCAAAGCCAAATCATGAGAGTTAAGAGGAGAAACAGCATGTGCCGAATCACTAGATATTTCCTGCTCAACTACCCTATTAACCTCACAGGCAATAATATTCTCCTCCTTTGAACTTTCAACAGCCATAAGAGTAGAAACACCCCTAGGTGAATGATTGGACAGTAAAGCACCATTAGTCACATCATTAGTATTACCCAAACAAACTAAGTTAGAAACATCATTACCATTCATAAGATCAACCACAGCAGGAGACAGGGCTATAGGCCCAGCAGGAAAAAATGTCTCACATACAGGAGGAACACTAACATGTAAATTAACCTCAGAACAATAAAATTACCCGTAGAAAAAACTAAAAGATGCTCAGGAAGAACTTCAACAGAAACCGTAGGAAGAGCGGCCTTAACAACTAAATGAGGATGTAAAATCAGGCAACCAGCATAGAATGACCTAACACTTTGCAATGAGAACAATAAAAAGGAAACTCTTCCATCTCCACCTGTTGGATATAACTCAACTTCTCTGAACCAATCCACACATTGTCCGAAAATTGCTTAGTAATGTCTAACTCAACAAGAATGTGGGCTATCGAGGGCTTAGTCCCAAAAGAAGTAGCAATATCAGTACGCAACGAACGACCAAACAGAGAGCCAAAACCATGAAACTCATGAGGGGAGAAAAGGTGCGGACGCAAATTAGGGAAAGAAACTTATATAGGGGTGACATGGGACTCAACATTGATGTCAAATTGGGGTGACCACTTAAACAACTTAATATAGCAATTGTTAAAAAAGTAAGAATGGTGAGAAAAAAAATCTTATAATAGTCTAGGTCATTCATCAGCTTAATCAAATTGTTCTTAGAGTTAAGCACAATAACAGAAAAATCACCATTTAATTTAAGCTAGAAAAAAATTTACGAATCGAATCAAGCGACGGACACCGACTAGTAGACTTTCCAACCAACGCAAACTCAAATGGAGCAGCCAAGGCCAACATTTCGGCATCATAAATCCAAAGAGAAGGAATGTCATTACAAGAGGTGATTTTGAGATTAGGAAATTCCGACAGAGAAGAAGACCAAGACAGAGCCTCTCGAAAAGAGTGTGTTTTGCCCTTACAGTCCACAAAATCGGGGTTAATGAGCTGATTAACAGCCATAGCCACCAGGAAAATGAACAAGGGAGAGAAAGCGAAAAAAAAAACTCAAGAGAAATTAGAAAGTGATTACCCACAGGGCGGCCACGGAGCAAAGAGGAAGAAAAACCCTAGCCATAAAAGCAGCCTAACTTTTCCAAATCTTAAGTATGTTGAAACTATAAGCATTAAAACTATGAAACATTATGATTGATCATTTACACTTATTGCATGCTAAAATATTACTGGCCGTGAAAGGAGGATTTTATGCCTTAAATTTATACAGAAATCCTGCATAAAAAAATAAATAAAATTCATAAAAAAAACATTAGAGTTTTTTCCTAAAGCACTAAAAAAAATCATAAGGCCTAACTCATTAAAATAGTATGATATATATGATGTTATAAAAGCCTATTCTTCCATTCATCAGAGAGGATGGAATTACAAAGTTTAGGTTACTAGCTTTATCTCTTGTGGCTATATCAGATAACTCTAGAGAAGTAGTTAGGGCGGAGGCGAAAGTTAATAGATGATAATCGTATTAAAATAATTATACTAAGATGGTCATTTGATAATAGATTGATAATGATTATTGTACAATGATAGTTGGAAAAATATTGGTCAGGCTTGATCAGGTGATAATAATTAAGTAATGATGATTGGACTATGACAATTTCACAATAATGATCGTGTGATAATGATCACATAATGATGGTTGGGTGATGACGATTTATAGTGATGGTTGTTGGCACTTGTCATTAGATGGGGCAATAGAAATTTTTAAGCTCTCTATAACTTCAGGCTAAAGTCCAGAAAAAGTGTCAACATTTGATGTTTGGGTTTGACTAGTTTAATTTTATTTTCAAGCTATATTTAATGCATACTATGTTCAGATTATTTAATATGTTTAACAATGTCTATTAGATTACTTAATTTATTTATTTTAACTAGTTAAATTAACATAATAATAATAATAATTTAATTAATTTAATTTAACTAAATTAATTATTTTAAATATTTATAATAATAATTTTTCAGAAAATTTAAATTCCGTTAGAAATCCGGTAGAAATATTCCATCGGAAATTTGCCGAAATTTTTACCGGATTTGTTTATGCTAAAAAATCAGCCGGAAATTA